TAATTACATAAGTATTTCAGTTGATTATTTGTATATATGTTAGTTGTCAGCTGTGGTGTTGGAATTAGTATGTCAGTTGTAGTTGTGGTGAGTAAATATAGGAGGTAGTGGGAGAATAGGCATGAATACCGTGCTTTGTAAATATATATATTAGTTTGCTACTTTAATGTGAATTATTCAGAATTCTACAAAACCTAGTTTCAGGAGGAGATCCCCCTCGAAGTGGATCAACTGTCTCTTTTCTCTCTAAATTCCAAAACAGTTTGCTAAAAGGATTGTGAAAATAACAGAACTATTTTTTTATTTTTATTTTTATTTATTTTTATGTTTATGTATTTGTTAGCAACTTAGCAAAATAACATAATAGTAAGGAAATGGAAGAGGACACTGTTGAGATTTAACCTACACCTCTCAACTCTATCCTCTCGCCGGCAACAACCATGGTAGTCTCTATCTCCTCCACATGCCTACACACATATATCTATTTTAGTTTTTCATTCATATTGTTGTTTGGATGCTAAGAAAGTAGAGGAAATAAAAAGAAAAGGGTAATAGCACACTCGCTGTTTCTTTTGTGAAAGATTCAAACAAATTTGGGTGTTTTTTTTTTTTTTTCTCTTTCTATCCCACACATTTTTTATTTTCATTCTCAAATCTTAAAGACATTTCTCGTTTTGTTGTTTTCTGTCTTTTTTTTTTTTTTCATTTATATAATGTTATATGCTGTTAAGTTGAAATTGCCTTTTTTTTTTTTTTTTCGTTTACGATATGGTGGTATGTCTCAACTATTGGATTAGTTGACTTTAAATCAGTATCATGTAGTCCTTAAAATATGCCCAAAAAAAAAAAAAAAAAAAAAAAAAAATTGCCACTAGATCACATTATACAAACTAGGGGTAAGTGTAGAAAACACCCCTGAAGTATACTTTTTGTAGCACTTTTATCCCCTATTTAAAAAAGTGTGTAATAAACAACCCTAATCTTTTAATATTGTGCACAATTAACCCTCTGTCAGAAATCTGATATAAATTACGAATGTAATACCCATTTTACCCTTTTTATTTTTCCCAAAATGCCCTTGCAATCATCCTCTGCAGTGCTCAGCGTCTCCGCTTTACGCCAAAAATTTTAGTGTTCACCACTAATCCGTCACCCACAAACCTGACCATGAGAACCATGAACCAAGGAAAGGCGAAAGCCCAGAGCAACAGTGTTACTCTCTTTACCATCAAGTCTCAACTCTCGCCATCACCACTCTCTTCTCACTCGTCTAACCCTGCTCCCTCTCTACAAAATCCATTAGATTTAAGCTTAATCAAAGCACTCACCCCCGCTCTTTCTCTTCGAAATTACATGTTCATTAGTTTAAGGTTAATTAAACCGAAGAACGAAATCACAATCAGTGAGTGGTTAAGGGTATTCATAGCACTCACAATTTCCCTTCCTTCGAGGACCGCCGAGATGTCGCCACACTACACGCTCGTCGCAATTTCTCAGCCTCAAAAACCAGCGCGGTCTCTGGTCGAAATCTAATTATGGATCCGATGTCATTGTCAGTGTTTTCATGACCAGAGTATGGCCAGAGCAAAGAAGCTTCTCCGATCTAAATCTCGGTCGAAGCGACGATGTGTATAGTTGGTAATACAGCCAAATATCTAATAATAGATCAAACAGAGCACATAAATAGAATCTAATGGTGGCTATAACACGTTTTGACACAGAAATCCCTCAATTTATATTCTTTAAAAAATAAAAAATAAAAAATCAGAGGACAAATAACCATGAATGTAGGAGAGAAGGCCAAAAAGGTGACACAAAGTCAATATCAAAAACTGTAACTACAAGAAACATAAGAACCCATATTCAACTAAATTCATGGGTTTTTAGACTCTTTACACTTTGTTGACACATCATATAGATCAAACAAAGTCAATATTGAAAACTTGCCAAGATCCAAAAACAAGGCTATTGTTATTCTTTTCTCACTCCCTTCGGCGGCGCCAGAACTCGCTGTAGTCGTTCCGCCATCATGCTTGCAATCGTCGATCTCTTCCCCACCCTCTGCCCCTTCGATTAAGGCTCTGCCCTCTGCAACTATCGATCTCTGCACCTTCGATTAAGCCATAACCAATATTAAAGCTTTCGTCCTCCACTTTTCCTCTTTCGGTGATGTTAGATTTGTCATACCTACTTGCAGTGTTTGGTGTTGATTGGTGGTGTAATTGTAATGGGGTTGTAAATTATTTTGCTGAATAATGTTTAATGTCCTTTTTTATAAAATTATTTAATAAGGGTAATTTGGTCAATTTAAATTTTAAATGTGTTAGAGGACCTAATTGCACCAAATTGAAACTTGATGGGTGTTTTTTGCACGTGAGGGATGTGATATGTACTATAAACATACTAGATGAGTGTTTTTTGCACTTGACCCATACAAACTACTATCACGTGTTAATGTCTTTTAGCTGACTAAATGCATTAAGCTTTTAATCCTAAGAGGTTTTATGAACTCAAATTTGTGTTTTAGTCTAGTATGTACTAAAATATTATTATACTATTTATTTAAAATATTAAAGAGCAGGTATTGGCCGTAATGGTAAAGTTTTTTTTTCGAAAGATTATTTTTTTTTTTTCGAAAGATTCGTAATGGTAAGGTTGTTCCATTATAACCTGGAGGTTACGGGTTTGAAACGTGAAACGTCTCTAAATATTGGAGATAAGGCTGCATGCATCTGACTATTTCAGGTGCCGCAATGGTGGCAACTTCATGCACTAGGCAAAAACCCTTTTTATATAAAAAATTTATTTATTTGAAACACTTTCGTAAAAGAATTTAGTGTTCATTAATTTTTTAAATTGAACGCTAACCAAATTTAAGATTTAAGTGTAGCTTTGTGAGACAACAGTTAATTTCTTGAGATCACTTGTGGATATTTCATAGAATATTTAGAAGGATAGGACATTTATTTGATTTTTTATATTTTTATAGTGCAATTGCAATATAAAAACCATAAGATAATACTCTCTTGTCCAAAAAGTTGGCAAATCTCATAAATTATGTGGAGAATCATTGCCCATTGTCAAATGTAAGAATTGTACATATAAACAACTGCGTGGACGGACGCAGAAAATTGTGCGAGGGAGGCAATAATGGGATTTTTTGTAATTTCGTGGGGGCAATATTAAAAATTCATATATATACACACAAAAAAAAAAAAAAAAAAAAAAAAAAAAAAAAAAAAAAAAAAAATCACTAATATATAATGCTAAAAAAAAATCAGCTAACAAAATACAAGGTCCGTGCCTGAACAACTTTGCATTGTACCAAATTTAAAAGAATTACTCGTATAATGTGGTCACTCACTTGACAAAAGTCATTATCAAGTATAGGATAATATTATTTTCAATTTATCTGCATTTATAAATCTCTAGATCCTTTTCAATTGAATAATCAATGAGGAGAGCTTATGACTCTTGTACCATGGCTTCTTTATTTTTTTAATATTTAACTGTTTTAGAGGTTTATTGAACTTAATCAACGGGCTAAGTTTTTGAAATCAAAACACTTTAAAACTTTGTTGTAAAAACAAGAAGAAGTGAAGTAAACATTTTTTTTTTTTTGGTAGGCAAAGTGGAAAAATTTAAAAATATAAGAATAGTGTACCAGCAAAGTAGAGACATACCCCTACTAATACAAAACCGAGTCCCAAGCAAGCAGACCGTGCTGGTCAAAGAGGAAAAAACCAATATCAGTCGACGTTAAACAAAACACATAAATCTGGGAACAACAGAGCAGAAATATCGAGCACCTAGTAAATCAATTTAGCCACTTCTTCAGCCGCTCTATATTTTTTTTAATGCATCCTAAGATTTCTCTCATTCCAAATATACCAAATAGTGGAAAAATGTCTTGTAGCAAACTTTCTAGCTGAAGCAGTCCCTTGCAAGTTCATAAACCACTCAGCCTATTGCAACAAAGTAGAACACCCTGAAGAATTCCAACTAAATATAATTGAGAACCACCTCCAAACTTTAGCAGCAAACTTCCAGCAGACAAATAGATGGTCTCTCATATTAGCATCTGCAAAGCAATTGTAATTCCCACTCTAGGTCTAGACTCTAGAGCCATTCCAACAAAGAGGAAGCAAATGCACAGTAAGATAAGATCCATTCAGAGCAACCACAGCCTTCTTAAAAGAGAAATCACCACTATCCCACAAAACAGAATCCCCACCTCCTTGAGTTGGGATCGACAAAGTGATGTTCCTCAACTGCTGCAACCTAGATGCAGAAGATTGAATGAGGAAATACCCATGTACCATCATCATCAAGCTGCTTAAAGTAGCACTTCTGGGAAGGTTCAATTCTCTCCGTATTCTATGAGAACCTTTGAATTATTGTTAGACCCTGACACTGCATTTTTAAAAAGACTAATTGAAGTGCCAATTCCAACTCTAAAAGAAATATGCTTAACCATGAAATCTCTAACAGCTACCATACTCCTTTAGATACATGAATGAGATGCCATGGTAATGGAAAGCAAATAGGATGAGTTAGCAGTGTATTTATATTTGAACCAAGCCACCCACAGGCAATCTCTTTTTTTTCTTTTTCTTTTTTTCTTAAAAAAACAGAAAAAGAAAAACAGAAAACCAATAATAAGTGAATGAGGTGTGAAAGCTTAAGACCATTCCAGGAGTTCAATTTTGCTGTCATTTTGTCAACTAGAGCAGCACAAGATGCCGTTTGCAATCCATGACACAAGAAAGGAAGTCCAAGATAATTAACAGGTAAGTTCCTAATTCTGCAATCAATTATCTGTGGAAGCCAACATAACATCTGTTCTTATTTTATTTCTCAACATTATTGTTTTATATATATATTCCTATTGCTTATAATCCTTCAACTAGTGAATAAGATATTAATATATATAGGCTCAAACTGAAATTGGAAATTCAATAATGACCATACAATGCTGTCTACCTTCTTGTCTTAATATCTTATTCACTAGTTGAAGGATTATAAGCAATAGAAATCACACACAGGTCTCTTTTCTTGCAAATTGCTGCACCGAAGGCCTTAGTCATGTCTAGATCTTCTTGTTTCTCTCCCTCAGGAAGTTCCCAGTCAAAGTGATACAATAAATTTGCAAGTGGAAGCTCAACATTAGCTAACCCGAACGACATGCCAGGACATATTCTCCTTCCAGCACCAAAAGGTAGATATTGAAAATCAGTCCCCTTGTAATCTATTAAACTGTCAAGGAATCTCTCTGGAAGAAAACTCTCTGGATCATTCCAATTTTCAGGATCTCTACTAATTGCCCATATATTGACAATGACTTGGCTTTTAGCAGGTATCTCATATCCATTGATTTCAAATCTCTCCATGCTCTCCCTAGGTAGTAATAAAGGGAGAGGAGGGTGTAATCTCAGAGTTTCTTTGATAACTAACTTTAAGTAACTCAATTTATGGAGGTCATCTTCATAAACAAGATTTCCTTTTGTACTTAAAAGTTGTCTCACCTCGGCTTGTGCCTTTTCCATAACTCTTGGGTTTTTCAGCAATTCTGACATTGCCAAGATTAAAGTTGTAGATGATGTTTCAATCCCACCACCAAACATGTCCTGAAAGAGCATAGAAATTGAGTTAAAGAATAGAGAATATAGAACAATATCATGACTTACTGGCTCCTATTATGCTCTTCTGCAACTCTTAAAGCTTGCCTTAAAAGACGTATTTTTGGGCATTAGCCACTTTGGGCGTTGGACCAGCATTATCTCTTGAACACAATGTGTATATTAGTGTTTGAAGATAAAATGTTTAAAACTGAATTTTAGTATGTAAATAGGGTTTTGGACTTCGGCTCAGCAGGAGGTAAAAGTAATTTGTGAAACTTATTCATTGATATTGGTAGAAGTATAAACTAAATGTACTAACCAGGAGAACTGACTTGGTGTGTGCCATAGTTAAGGGGATCTCAAGGTTACCCTTCTCTTGAACTTTTAGAAGAACATCGACCAGGTCTTCATGATTGGCTTCACCATCATCGGTCTGTGTTTCCACCTTCCTGGCTTTATGGTCATCAATGATGTTGGTAAATACCCTATCAAGTTTTTGATGAAGTTTCACAAGTCTAGGACTCAGCCCAGTTATCAAAGCAAGAATTTTAACCGAAGGAAAGAGATCAACAACCTTGAAACCTCCTACTGCAACTATGTCTTCCTTAATAAGTGATATGAATTCTTCTTGCCCTTGGAATTTCTTACCAATGGTTGCCTTTGCAGTGATGTTGTATGTCAACGACAAAAGCTTTTCACTGAGATTGATCAAAGATCCTGTATGCGTCGAAATAGAATTGATCAAATTTAAAGTCTCTTCTTCCCTGATGGGTAGGAATGATTGGACACGTTTGACACTTAAAAGCTCCATTATGCAAAGTTTTCGAAGTTGTCTCCAGTAATTCCCATAAGATGCGAGGGTAATGTCATGCTTATGATATTTACAGAAAGATTAAAAGGCCTGCTAGCAAAGACGATGTCATGTGTTTTCATCACCTCTTTTGCTGTTTTTGCTGAAGAAATGACAACGATAGAAAGTTGTCCAAGTCGTAGGTGCATCAGAGGTCCATGTTTCATGGCCAAATCTCTTAGGCAGTGATGGGGTAGAGTTCCCACAAATTGGTGAATGTTCCTATTAGAGGTAGCTTCCATGGTCCAGGAGGCAGTTTTGGAATTGAACTGATCTTGGTTTTAGATACTATTTTGAATACCATGGACAGAAAGAGCAGGAATGTGAAAAGAATTGGGAAGGAAAGGAATGGGAACTCCATCATCAATTGTAGAGCCACGTTCGAGTCTTCACTTGTCTCTGTGGAGCCTTGAAGTTCTGCAAGATCCTTTTAGCATTTTCAGTTTACTTTTCTAGGTTGTATGCATGAATTAAGAAAGATATATATATATATATGTATCTATATATATGTATATATACACACACATTAGCAAGAAACACAATTTTGAATATCATGAATAGAGAGAGCAGGAAAGTGAAGAGAATTGGGAAGGAGAGGAATGGCAACTCCATCAGCAAATGGAGAGCAGCGTCCAGATTTTACTTGTCTCAGCGGTAGGATTGCTTTTATATCCAGATTTATGCATTTTTAAGTTCCCATTTCTGAGTTGTATCCTTTGTTTTATGAATAACGATGCTTAGAGTTGAAGCTCTCTTGGAGGCAAAGTGAGTTAATGTGTTTTTTTCCAAGATAAAAAGGTAAATAAAATAAAAATTTTGTAAATGGATCCTGAGGAGGACTTGTGGAAGATTGCAATGACATAGATATATGTGCATTGGGTCATATACATATCATAATGGTCATATAAATCATACATATGGTTCAGATATGTCCAAAAGTAAGTGGATTCAGAAAAATTATTGGAAGAACTGAAGAAGCAGATTATGGGCATATAAATCATACACGTAGTACACTCACATCCATTTTTTAATGGGAATATATATATATATATATATATATAGAGAGAGAGAGAGAGAGAGAGATTTACATTGTTGATGATATAGTTGTTGAAGATGGAGCTTATAAGGTTTTTTTTTTTTTTTTTTTTTTTTTTGAAAGTTAAAACAATTAGGCACATATAGATATCATAATGGTCATATAAATCATACCTATGGTTCAGATATGTCCAAAAGTAAGTGGATTCAGAAAAATTATTGGAAGAATTGAAGAGGCACATTTTGGGCATATAAATCATACACGTAGTCACATCCATTTTTTATGGGAATATATATATATATATCTCTATATATATATATAGAGAGAGAGAGAGAGAGAGAGAGAGATTTACATTGTTGATGATATTGCAGTTGTAGTCAGTTGGAGCTTTTAAGTTCCTAGGTCTCTTTTTCGCAATGACATATAGATATATGTGGATTGGGTTATATACATATCATAATGGCCTTTGACTTATCTTTTGTGATTATACCGAGGCTTTAATAAAAGCAATGGAAAATGACCATTTGCTAGTGCCATGATATGATTGGTCTGTATTAAATAATTTAGTATAAATTTTATCCACCAACAAGAATAAGTTAAATTTATTTATTTTTAATATAATAAAAGTATATCATAACAAATTTTAGGCTCTAGCTAAAGTTATGGAGGGAAGTATTGATCTATCATGACCTTTCAAGATGTTAGAGTGCCATCTCAAATTTTAGAAAATTGTTTGTAAATTTATTTTTTTTATTTTTTGAATTATTCACTTTTGTTTTAATGATCTTTATGATTTAAAAATTTCATCAATGATATATATTTTAATTAAAAAATATATATATTTCTAAAGAGTTATCTTCAAATTGAAACATCTATTACGTTGAACTCTTTTTCCTTTTCCTATATATATATATATATATATATATATAAAGAGAAATGATGTGACAATTGGGTGAGTCGAGTCTTTTGGAATTAATCAATAAAAAATAAAATCCAAATGAAAAAGATGTGACTTTTGGATGAGTCACATTTTTTGGAATTAATAAACAAAATTAAAAATTAAGATATATATAAATAGAAATTATATTGAGAAAACCTATCATTTTGCAAACACAATGATGTAAGCTTTCTGGAATTAATCAGTAATAAAAATCCAAAAATCAAAATAAATAAATAACGCTATTTGACATTTTGGTGCATTCTTAGTATCTACAAAACACAACATAACCGAAAAAAAAAAGTATTGAGTGTAGGTCAGGAAGGTCTCCTGAAATTACTCAATAATAAAAATATAAAAATAAAAACACTGTTTAACATTTTGGTACATGATTAGTACTTACAAAACAACATAACAGAATTTTATATTAAAACTGAATAGTATGAGCATAGGAGACAATGTATAGTTATTGGTTTTATTCATACCTCACCACGAGGTTGAGAACCAATTATCCAATGTAGTGTCCTTAATCCATGACATAACATAATATGTCTATGACTCAATAGATCGAATTGAACAAATTTGAAAATAAAATAAAAGAACACCCTAAATTTAGTAAAATAAAGTAATAAAATAATAAGATATTAGATTAAGATTAACATCACAAAAATTCAAGAACAGGACGTAGAAGAAAGTACAGATATGGGATCGGCATAAAACAATTGGATAGATTTTCTTTGTTTTAATTTAACCACACATGTACTTTCAAGAAAAACCATTCTTCTATTTTATTTTCTTTTTAATGTATATGTATTCTCCAATTCAAGCCAAGTTTGGGCAAGTGAATTTGAAAAAAAAAATAAATAAATAAAATTAAAAAAAAATAAAATTGGATTTCATACCTTTGAAAAAAATGGGTTTTGATTTGCAATTTGTTGCACACTAATAAAAATTTTGTCTCAAGCAAAAGGGGTTTAAAAGTAATTTAGGTTATTGAAATGTCCGTCTACCTTTTTATATGATAGAATCAATATATACTTTCAAGATTGAATCGACATATACTTTTAATAATCTTATGGTTTGAAGAAGAAATGAATGTAAAAAAATTTATTAAAAAATATAATATATGCAAAATAATTTAAATAGAGAACCGATGTATTTTAATCAGATATTATCGGTGTTTAATATGAAAAAAAAAAAAAAAAAAAAAAAAAGGTTTTCTTTATAGGTACTTAAATTTAAAAGAAACTCTTCATAAAGTAGACTATTTGGTAAGCAAAATATATAAATTATTTATTTTATAATATGATAGGTGTTGGAGTGTTTTTTCACTCCAAGTGTTAGTAGTTAAGAAGGTAACTTTTGAAGTGTTTTATTTTTATATTTGAATTTCAAAGGTGTAAATGTGTATTAGAAAGGAATATTAAAAATACGAAAATGTTAAAAGGTGTAATGTTTAGGAATTCAAAAAGTGTATAATGTAAATTGAAATATATATATATTTACAGTAAAAAAATGTTTATTATTTTATAATAGAGGAGGTGTTTGGGGTTAGAAGGTGTCTATTACAAGAGTTTAATTATTCTATTATTATTATTTGAAAAGTCATGTTTCTTGAGAAAACAAAAATTTAAAGTCATGTTTTCTTTTTAAATTAAAAAACTAATTTTAGTGTATATAAATAATATGAAATAAATCCCCTTCTATATGGGATATAAATATAAATATATGTAATAAACATATTATATACAGATAAAATATATATTAAATACCATTTTTATTCTAAATTAACTCTTAATTTCTTAGTATTCTTATTCTAAATCTTCATGGAACATACTTCCAAACATCTCTTCCAAAATATAAAGACATTTCATATCGGAATCAAAAATACTTTGAAGAAAATTAGGCAAAGTAAAGAACATACAAAAGAATAGTATTTAATTAAACAGGAAATGAATATAGAATTAGACAGAAGAGCAACACGAAACAATAAACACATTATATACAAAAAGAAGATATATAGAGGCTTTAGATTGTTGGGATCACAATGTATTTAGACAAAAACACTTTGTTATAACATAATATAAATAATACAAATAAAGTATTAGAAAATAATAATAGTTCAGTAAAATATCAATAAAAGCATA